TTTTGTTACTAACAAGGCAATGCATGAAAATTCCATTTAATCTGTTCTCCCAATTACAGTGCCTTCTGTCTCCATCTTCCTAATTTCCCTAAGTATTTGCAGATCTGTAGTACATCAGCCATTTTATAAAGTGAGGTTGGGAGTTTTCTGCCTGTTTTTTTCCTTCCAAGTTTCAAATCCAAAAACATGTGTTGGCAGTTTGGCAAGCAGAACTAAAAAACAGCCTTTTTTTCTTGTTTCTTTCTCTTTTTCCTGGTTACCCTGTAGCAGTGTTTCTCAACAGAGACACAATTGACATTTGAGTCAGATAATTCTTTGTTTTGGGGAGCTGTCCTGTGCCTTATGAAATATTTGTCAGCATCCCAAGCCTATACCCTCTAGAGGTCAGTAGCATCCCTTCACTTGTGACAAGCCAAAATGTCCCCAAACATTGCCAAATGTCCCCTGGGGGGTGGAGCCGCCCCTGGTTGAGAGCCACTGTCATATAGTGTAAGCTGCATTTAGAGAAAATGGGTTTGGGGGGAAAGATTCCAGATTGGCACATGATTAAAATTCCTATTAGATCTTTGGGCATATTATCTAGATCACAGCTGTTCAAAAGAAATATAATGCAAACCACAAATGCAAGCCACATATGTAATTTTAAATTTTCTAGAAGCTACATTAAAAAGTAAAAGTAAACAAGTGAAGTTAATTTTAATATTTTATTTAACCTAATATATCCAAACAGTTCTCATTTCAACATGTAATCAACATAAAATTAATGAGATATTTTACATCTCTTTTTTTGTATGAAGTCATCGAAATCCAGTGTGTGTTTTGACTTATAATACATCTTAATTTGGACTAGCCACATTTCAAGTTCTCAATAGCCACTTGTGACAAGTGGCTACCATATTGGATAGGGCAGATGTAAAGCATCGTGGTCTCTAAATAGGGTGCAAATTAGCACTAATACTTTTCTCTCCTTTTATACTGTCCTGCCTCATTTACTTGAGCAAATAAGACTCTAAACCTGTGTTACCATGCAAATCCTCTCCCAAGGCATACAAACTACCTTCCTGATCCAGTCTGACTTAAATTCTTCAGCCCCATTTTCATTTTTTTAATTTATTTTTTTAAAGATTTTATTGGGAAATTGGGGGAGGGGAACAGCCAAGTTGTTGTTCTTCAATCTTCGTTGTGGAGGTGCCAGTCACCATCTGGCTGCCTCATCGGCAGCTCGTGGCCTCTAAGCTCAAAGTGCTGTGTTCAGTCTTAGTTGCAGGTAGGCATAGCCACCATCCCATGAGGGAGTCGAACCAGCAGCCTAGTTGTTAAGAGTGCATGCTCTATCCACTGAGCCATCCGAGCAGCAGCACAGCTTAAGGTTTCCAGTTCAGTCTTAGCTGTGGATGGGCGTAGCCACCATCCCATGCGGGAGTCAAGCCTGGCAGCCTTGTTGTTAAGAGCACACGCCCTATCCACTGAGCCATTTGGGCGCCAGCTCAGCTCAAAGTGCGGAGTTCACTCTTAGTTGCAGGTGGGCGTAGCCCCCCATTGAACAGTCAATCTTGTTGTGACACCAGCTGAGCCATCCTGTCACCTGTTTGCAGCTCAGTGACTGCTCAGCTCGGGCGCAGCGTCACTGGCCCATGTGAGAATTGGACCGGTGGCCCTGTTGCTCAGAACTCGCGCTCTTAAGCCAACTCTTAACCAACTGAGCCACTCGGCTGGCCCCTTTAGCCCCATTTTCAATGATTTCAGACCTCTGTCTCCTGGAGATGGTTAATATCTACATATTTATTAAAAATTATCATCATTTGCCCAATAGCCAGAGTGAGTGTTCTCTGAGTGGCTCTTTGCGAAAACCTTAGCCATAGGTAAAATGAAACAACAAAAGAAGACCCAGTAAGGGTATTAACAGGCAGCTAGATTTTTTTTAATGGGCAATAATTCAAAAAGAAAATTCTTTAGGGAGCCCCCCGTAATTGAGAATTTTCTTTCAAAGGAATATTTTCTAAGCATATAGTTCAAGATTTATCTGGAGAATTATTAAGAGTTAACTCTCAATAAATGAGAGAATATAAGGAATAATGAAATAATAGCCAAGTTGACATTCATTCACTTTGATAAAAAGCTTCAGTAAACTTCTTTCTCCCCCTCCTACTCTAGCTGTACAAGAATTGTGTTAGAAATAGCAGGGAGACATGCCTGGAGCCAAGACCAGGCCCTCCTTCTTAAAATTCTGCCCACTAGGCTCCTCTTCTGAAGTACGCAACCTGGTTTAGTCAGGTATTCTTAACTTTTGTGGTGTCATGACTTCCACTGCTAGCTTGGTGAAGCCTATGAAATCCTTTCTCAGAATAACCTTTTAAAATTAATAAAATAAAATACATTGGATACCAAAAGAGATGAATTACTTTGAAATGCAGTTATCAAAAATGTTTTTTAAATATTTGATAATGTAATATATGTGCCTTTTTACTAGTGCATTAAATAACATGTTCTAACGGTGGGTCTGGTGACTACCCTAATTTCAAAGTAGTGATGAGTATAAAGGATATTTTGAGATATCTAATAGCTATAGTGCAATATGAAAATACTTGTGATTTCTGTTATGAATTAGGAATGTTAAATATCAGTTAAAGTTTAATGAAAATAAAGATGTAATTTTTTTTCCTATCCATGTTCACAGTTATCAAACCCTCTGAGTTGCTGATAGGTGGAAGATCCCTTCAGCCACCTTCAGCTCTCTTCAGACCCCAACTTTTGATTTGGGAAAAATAAATAAGGGGAACGGGATTGTGTGGAAGGAAGTGGGGAGTGTGCAACAGAGGAACAAGAACTAGAGGACAAATAAAACAAGTCAGGACTCTGCACCAAGGTTGTTAACAGAAGGGGAGTTAACTTTTAAAATATTAAACAATCCTAACAAGAGCAAAATCTGTTGGAGGTTTAAAATCTTTCTCCCAGCTCAGTTTTGAGCAAACTAGATTTCTGATAGTAGAAAAGGATTTTTTGCTTGAAAGTCATTCTTCTAGATTCTACAACATTGTGCAAAAATTTCTAAGCTACCTACATGAACTTTCCTTGAAAAATTTATAAACATAGTTTTGAAAAAGATTGTTATAACATTTTTCAATGCATTTTGAAAATGTATACCCCTGCCTAATCTACTACTCTTCTTATCCCTCTAAAATGATGTTTTTTTCTCCATTGTAGACTAGATTCTTCTCATTTCTTTTTACCAAATACCTGGCAGTCCCATACTCACTACAGAAATTTATTCAACCTACAGATGTCATACCCCTGGGGAACAGATTAGCTCCTCCTTCCCCCACCCGCACCCTTATTCCCATAAGGAAAAATCTGTGACGGAAAAAGTTGTTGCCTAGGGTTAACCAATAGTAGAGAACACTAAAGTTCTTGACTGAATTTCCCCACACTTCATTCAGTTTTGTCCCAGATACTTCGGAAACCACTAAGGCATGCTTCTTTTGACTGTTTTACTTCTTGGTTCTTTATACTTGTAACTGAAAATTCCCTTTGCCCTTCAGACCTGTAGTCTAGCTTAGAAAGACTTTAGATCTTAAGCTGGCTTTAGTTGTGATAGGGTTCGGAGCAGATTTGGGGAAAGCTACTTTTATTTCAAGTAAAATAAAGGAACGTAAACAGTTCAGTGTTGCTTTCTTGACTAGATAGGAGCTGGGATAGGGCCAACTCCTGTCTATTTAGTTTGCTGTCAAGAAGAGCTGTGTAAAAGAGGGCTAAAGGTAGTGTTCGGTGGGAAATGTGTATCTAATAAGGAGAATAAAAAGAGGGGACTAACCAGTCATTTTTTTTAGAAAGAAAAAGACAAATAGAGCCATATTTCAGAGCCTGACTGGTAAAAGAGCTGTGAAAAACTGCAGCATCCAAGCTGTTACTGTGTTTCAGGCATGTTTTAATGAAGGAACATGGGCAGCTAGCCTCAAAGGGAATTTTGAGTGTATCATTCTTTTGAATTACTGCTGTTCATCTGTTCCCTTCACCTCCCCCTCTAGAGAAGGGGTCGGAGCATACATTATTGTCCAGTAACCCTGCCTTACTTAGTCGAAACAGTCATAAACCGAGGCACACCTAGCCTCACCTTTTCATTGTCCTTTCACCCAAACCCCTAAATAAAATCTCTGTACAATCTCCTTTTCCTTTCCCCTCATCCTGCCTGCAGGCTTCTCCCTACCCTAACAAAAAAAAATTTTTGCTTGCATTTTTACTCTACCGTTCTATAGCCAGCAGCATTGCACTGGCCCCTTTATGGCTGATGGAGCCTAGGCGGGCTGCCCGAGACAGCATTTGGCCAGTGGGGCTGGTATGTGCCATTACTGCTGGCCATTGGGCCTTTGTTTTCTACGGCTCCATCCTGACTCATTAAAACCCAGAGCCAAATAGCTGGGCAGGCGCCTGCTGTAGCACTATGGGGGCCAGGAAGTTAAATGGTTCTCCTAATCCTGCATAATTTATCTCCCTGTTAGCCCCCTCATAAATAGTCTGATTCAGCCCCACCATGGAGAACTTCATTCTGAATTTCCTATTTTTGTGATGACCAATGAGTACCCAGCCTTTCCCTTCTTCTCTCTTTATTATTATTATTAAAAATGATTTCCCCCTTGTTCACTACGAATTGGCCTTAATGTTTTTTTCATTTGGAGTCTCCTGCATGGACCCCACTTCACCAACAATCTGTCTGTTCCTTTCATTTGGACCTAATATTACAGAGCAGTTGCTGCTATGGTTTTCCCCTTCCTCTCTCCTCCTAGCTTTCTAGTGCCTCTTTTTCTCCTTCCCCATTTTATCTTCTTAAACCCATCGTCAGTCCTTTTCCTTCACTTCCAATGTTTTCTCCTTTCCGTTCCCTGTCTAGTCCTTCTTTCCAGAGACCAACCTTATTGCAGGATGTTTGGTAGGACATTGTAAAAGGGCACTGCATTGCTTTTTCTTTTTTTTTTTTTCACATCTCTGTTTCTGTTTCGTTTCAGAGATTTACAAACGAGGACCACCTGGCAGTTCATAAACACAAGCATGAGATGACATTGAAATTTGGCCCAGCCCGAACTGACTCAGTCATCATTGCAGGTATTTGCTGCCCCAGAAGCCACGTGTCTTGATATCACCAGACAGTTAAGATTAATACCAGGGAACAGATGTACTGGGAGCTATACTCCCCTTCTCCCATTAAGAGCCCTTCTGTGATCTGCATTTAATCAGGAAAAAGGAATACTAAAAGCTCCCAAGTTTCAATTGTGCCCTCCATTCTCTGTTAATACAAGATTGGGCTCTGCGGTTTTTGAGAATAGGTGTGTTGAACGTTTGTCTTAGCTTTTTTCAGTCTGTCCCCCCCTTGTCTTCTTTTTGTTAAGACTTTGGAAGATTTACAGACAAAAGACGCCTTTGACATTTCTCACTCCCCACAGTGAAGGGGTGAACAAAAGGAAGCAAGGAGACCGACCTAGCCTGGCTGCTTCCCTTCACCGGGTGTCAGTTTTCCCCAAGCAGGCAGATTGTCAGTTCGTAAATTCAGCTTCCCCTGTGAACCCAGACACCACTGAGGGCACATGTCCAAAGCTCAAACAAGACATTTAGTCAGTGGGACTTTTCTAAGCCAATTTGGGTAACCTGGAATCTCTCACCGGTTTCTTTAGATATTGTCTTGCTTACATATGCCATCTCAAGGGACCATTCTCAGCAACCTCTCTCAAACCGTGCAGCAGTTCTTTTTGTGCCATTTTCAGCTAGATGGACAGATGAACCAAAATGGGCTTTTTATTTTGATACCATGAGGGATTCCGAATTAGCCTGAGTCAAGCAAGCTTACCTCAGTATTTAACCAATAGGGGATTTAGTTGGTGGTTATTACATCAGTTAATAACTCAGGTAAGGCACAATTTCTTTTAAGTACTCCTGGCCAAAATACTACTTAAGATGTAGATGTAGAGAAGGAGAGAGAGAGCCTTCTCTCCATACTAATACACATGAAGAAAGGGACTTGCCCTCCTTATTAATTAAGCAAATATTTATTGAATATCTACTGTGTACACAAGGTACTTTGCTAGGAACTTATAGATTGTAATTCCTGGAAAAAGACGTGAGTAGGGACACTGCCATTAATGATCCATAAGAAAGCCTGGAGGAGGTCTTAGGCAAGAGTGGATAGGGTTTAAATATATATGTAGTTAATGCATACTTAAATTTTTAAAGTCATATATACGTGGGAAAAAAAGTATTTGCAGTCCAGTACAAGTGAATAACAAACAATAAAAATACTAACAGAATTAATATTAAGTGGAATTAGTCAGAGACAGTTTATGAAAGAGGTAAATTTGAGGCAAGGTTATCAAGTTGGAGAGGTCATTACAAATGGGTGGAAGGGCCTATGCCTAGTCTCCAAGAGTGATGAGAGAAATCGATACAGGACCAGTCCGAAGGAGAGAAAGTGTTTTTCTGTTATTCTTTGCATGCTGTTCTGGAGTTCTCATCTGGTGGCACATGACTTTAGCTATTCCCATTTAGGTTGGCAATTCTCATACCTGTGAAGTAAGACCTTGTGTCGCACATGTATTTCAACCCCTAATTGAACACTTAACTTTGCTGTCTTTCTGTCATTCAAATCTTCATGTTGATGACCGAATTTATTTCTTTGTTCCCTAACCCAACTCCTTATCTATGATATCAGTATTCTCAAAATCTTGAGTTGTTTTATTCTTCCTTCAAGTTCTCTCTGCTCTGTTCCATCCTGCTCTTCCTGCCACATCCTCATTATGCTTGGGTTTCTCCATAGTCTCCCAGCTGGCCTCCTTGACGAGTCTCTCATTATATGTACGTATATTATGTAGATTACTTTAGCCATCTATGTATATTAGTTTTATTAGTTTTTTTCCCTCAAATAGAAAATATTCTGTTATTCTCTAGGGCAAGAACCATGTCTTATATTTGGGCAAAATTCCTATACTTCTGTTTCCTCTCCTCCTCCTATGCACAAGTGTAGACATGTAACACCAAAACACATAGAAAGTATTGAGTAAACACTTGTTGATTGCTTCGGAATCATCAGAGCAGGCGAAGGGTTTTCTTATACATTTTTCGGCTGTTAGGCTGTTTGTTCGGGAATGGGAGAAGTTTGTCTGAGTCTCAGATCAGAGATGCAAAGGCCCTCTTCTGCCATAGCCGTGCCCTTAGCTGCCCCATCCTGTTTCACCTGAGTTGTAATTTTTTCTGTGCCCTTGCTGAAGTTCTCTCTAAGCTTAAAGGATATTACCTCCACTCACCCAGGGATGGAGGGAAAGTGGCTTTATCGTTGGCCAACCAAAGCTGCCAGAGAAGCTTTTAAAACTATTTTGGGAGGTAGTGGTAACTTTTCCAAACACTCTGATTCAGAAGAGGTTTTGTTTAAATTAAAAAAAAAAAAATTATGTTGTTTCCATGGAAAAATCCCACTGGATTATTCCCAATTGATCATGCTAGAAGGAGCGATTTTAACCTCAGGCCTCTCTCCTTAAAATATTATTTAAATGGTTCTGTTTCTGTCATTCAGCCTAGTGGTTTGGGGTATGAGATGAATCTGTGAGGCGATTACCATGTCAAGCAAAAACCATCATAATAAAGTTCGGATCAGGGAACAAGATTCAAGTGACTTAAGAGGAAAACTAGAAAGGAGACTGGGGAGAGAGAAGTTCAAATCTAAAATTCAAGTTGCTTGAAAAGTTCCCATGGGTTACCGAGAGCCTCCCTCTTCCCAATGGCAGAGGCACTGTGTTGAGGAAAGATTTGTGGAGCCCCTGAGAGGATATTTTGGCTAGGAAATCTAAATCCAAATATCCTGGTTTCCGGAATTTGCTCTGGGCCCAGGTCTCTGTGAAATGAGCACTATTGTTTGCAGTTTCCTTTTCTAGCTCAAGATCTTGCTGTCTTGTTCCCCAGCCCCTAGATTTGCCTGGAATGCCTTCAGAAGGTAACAGACCCTTACCTCAGTGGCCCCTGAAAGACAAGGCACCATTTCTAATTTGGTAGCTTTAGCAAGCAAACTCAACCATCTGATCCTCAGCTTCTTCTCATCAGATTTTAACGTCCATCTGGTTATACCTGCTCACTTCAGGCCTAGCAGGGAGTAAGTTTAAAGAGAAAATGTCGCTTAACTGTATTTGATTTTCAAATCTGGAGGTTTCACAAACTCCTCCTGGGTGGGTGGTTTTGTTTTGTTTGCGGGTGAGGGAGGTGAAACCAGCCTCTGGGAGAAAGGTGGTTACAGGGATAGTCACACAACAAAACATTGTTCTGTCTTCCCTCTACTGGCCTTGAGGCAACACAGCACAGACACCCTCTGGTGGCCTAGCACCAGCCTTTACTACGAGAGCTCCAGAAAAGCAAATTTGCCCTAACAGAGACGCTCTCAAAATAGAAGAATAAAAATGTGTTATCTATCTATGCTAAATTGTAATTTCAGGTTAAAACTAAAATAGAATTTAATATTCATATCTACAGATCAAACTCCTACTCCAACTAGATTCCTAAAGAACTGTGAGGAGGTGGGGCTCTTCAATGAACTAGCTAGCTCCTTTGAACATGAATTCAAGAAAGCTGCAGATGAGGATGAAAAAAAGGTAAGAGGCTGGAATTTTGATGAAAAACTAATGATGTTCAGGTCTAGTCCATTCCCATCGTGCCCCGGGATAATTTGCTTAATTGGTTATAAAGCACAAAATTATGGACTTGGTAGTACCCACTAATCCTAGTCAGCCACCCAAGACTTTAGGGGTCCATACGATGGATCAGCACAAGTCTGACGTCACCAAAAATCAGTCTTCTTGCACTTCCAATAGAGCATTTGTTCAGTAATCTGTTTGTTTAAATTATTTGTTTTGAATATGTTGGAGATGTTAAAAGATTACAAAGTACTCATATTTTGTTAGGTAACTTTTTTTTTTTTGCCAAATCCCACTCTTTTCTGAGCTCACTTCTAACCTGGGCTGTTTTTATTCAATAAGTCAATCAACAAACATTTATTGAATTTTGACCGTTCTTTGTTTCAGTATATGTGGCTCTTACTGTCAAGTAGCTTTCTAGTAATATTCAAGACACTAACAATTTAACGAAGGATGTTCAGTGCCTTCCAAAGGAGATCAAACAGGATGGTGAAAGAACTAGAAATTACGTCACTTTGAGAATATTTAGAGAAATTGAGGAAGTTTTGTTTGGAAAAGAGAAGATTTCATGTGAACAAAAGTTTGGTCTTCAAATATTTGAAGAGCTTTCATGTAAAAGAAGGGTTAACTTTATTCTCTTTGGCCCAAAGGTAGAAGTAGGACCAGCAGGTGGAAGTTATCACAAAGTGTGTTCAATTATATGTAGGCCACTTAGTATAGACATTGTAGAGAGCATTAAAATGTTGGAATCCCTCCTAATTCTGAGGTGCTGTGGTTCCGATTTTAGCCTTTATATTTCAGATCCCTAAAGAATCCTTTAGTTTGGAAGACCAGAGGAAATAGTTCAAGAAGTAGAGTCAAAGAAAAGTAGTTCCCACGGTATAAGGGCTTTTTGGGGAAAAAGAAAACTGGAAAGGTCAAAGTTTACTTTAGAATTAGAATTCTAGGATATTAGTCGCTATTTAAAATCAGGTGTGTGTTCCATAAGAATTCAGAAAAATTCCAGTATATCTCTCAAAATATACATTAACACATGTACTTCCCATAATTGCATGGTGCAGTGAGGCATGGAATTTCATCAGCATATAGAAAAGCCAGGATATAAGAAAAAATATCCACAGTTCTTTCATTCTAAGATGGACATAGCAGGTAAATCAAGAGAGTTGTGCATGATTTTTTCCATTCAGCTTAAATTGTAAGAATACAAGATAAAGTGTCCTTATCACTGGAGGTCTTTCCAAATGCTCTAGCTTTCAATGAGCTGCTTTTCATGTTATCTCCCTCAAAGTAAAAAAGCGGGGCAACTTAGTGTCATATATTTGTAGTTCTACTTTCAAAAGGCAGAACTAACTACAGTCTTCTCATAATGCTTTTTCTTTGGAGACTCGGGTTTCTTTGGAGACCCAGGTCTCTTATCTCTCAGTTGCTTCAACCTATATGGTACAATTTTATCTTACAGCTTCCCTACTTCATCCCTCCTGTCATATCTTCCTCCCCCAAAACAAAGAAATCAGTCAAATTGTTTTCACCAGAATGTGAGGTATTTTGAACCAAACCCATTACAGTAAATTTAAGAAAGTTAGCCTCCCGGGGCCAGCCGAGTGGCTCAGTTGGTAAGAGCATGAGCTCTGAGCAACAGGGTTGCCGGTTCGATTCCCACATGGGCCAAGCTGAGTTGCCACTGAGCTGCCAACAGGTGGCAGGATGGCTCAGCTGGTGAGAGAGCACATGCTCCTAACAACAAGGTTGCTGGTTCGACTCCCGCATGGGATGGTGGGCTACGCCCCACCCCCGCAACTACGATTGAACACAGCACCTTGAGCTGAGCTGACCTGAGATGCCAGCGGGTGGCCGGATTGTTACTGGACTTGGAGCTGAGCTAGCTGCGCCCTCTACAACTAAGACTGAAGGACAACAACTTGGCTGTTCCCCTTCCCCAATTCCCCAGTAAAAATTAAAAAAAATCTAAAGAAAAAAAAAAAAAGAAAGCCTCCCTTTAAACGCTTCAGGTCTTTTCCACTGTTGTTTTAGTTCAGCTGACACCTCTGTGAGGCCATTCATAGTTGGTCAGGCCTTTACTCATTGGGTATCTCTCGATATTTCTTCCTGCATACACAGGGGTGGTCTTCACCTCACCTTGATAGGAAGCACAGACTCTGTGAAAGACCATCTCCAGGAGTGTTTTATGAGCCCAAAACTTTCCTGAATCACAGCTTTTGTAGGAGATTCCCCGAGGGGGTTTTAAACGTATTTACTGAGAGTCCTCTCCTTCCCACCACCCTCCACTTCAGGAATCCCAGAATTAGCTCAATGGGCCTGACAGTCTAGCAATGTAGGAAAAATGAGGGCAGAAATGAAGACATCTTTGCTGTTGCTCAACCCCCATCAGATTGTAGAAAAAGAACCATTACCGCCTTCTCTAAGGTGGTAGACACCAGATTATCTTTAGTTTGCCCAACTACCAAGAAGGTTTTTAGGAATTAAGGTAGCAAGGGAAAAATGGGAGACAAGCTCCTCTTTCACCAAGCAGCCTAGGATATGGAAAGAATAGAACAAAGGATCTACTTTGTCATGAAACTGAACTGCAATGCCAGGCCCCCTGTCATGGTGCAGTGTCAGGGCCCTCAGCTCAGATGGTTCATTGTTCCCTGCAAAGCCATTTATGGCTCCACAGTTCTGTGAGGTGATTGCACCACTGCTGGAAAAGTACTCTTTTCTTCCTGGTTTTCTCCAGTCCTGCTCCTAGGACCAAGTTCTAATTTCTTTCACTGATCAAGTAATCAGCCGTTCCTTTCTTTGTTACCTCAAAACCGTATCTTCCTAACTTCTAGCCTGTAGCACCAGATTTTGGGGTGAGATCACCATTGAGCATTGGGAGTTCCCTGGAAAAGATCTTTCTTATCTTGTTTGCCGTACTCTAATAGCCGATTTGTCTTTATTTGCTATTGATAATTGGGTAATCTAGTCATTCTGGTTGGCAGAAAAAGTGTTGGCCTCAGCCCTCCAGTGGCCAACAGAGCTAGTTGGAGAAAGGCAGGCACTGGATTCAGTAATCATTTTATTGTCCTGAAAATAATATATTGGGTTGTCAGGAAAGTCATGATGCATTTTTGCATTAGAAAACAGAAAAATATGTCATGACTTTCCTGACGACCCAGTCATATTTGCATGGGTTTAAATGACATCTTTTTCCGCCCTTTCAGGGTCTTTACAAGCGTTATAACAATTTTTTCCCTTTGAGAATCTTTGTAAGTATTCACCATGGTGAAGCAGGTGTTATCTCCATTTTATGGTTAGAGAAACAGGAGCCCTGGGAAGTTAAAATGACTTGGCCAGAGTTGTACTTAAAACCTAGGCTCCACATTTTTTTGATTTGCAGTTTGGTGTTTTGAATAAGGGCTGAACTTCTTAGAAGTATATTCCCTCATCTTTTAACTGGAAAGATACAGATTCATCCTGAAGGGAATCATGGGGTTAAAGTATGCTCATTACTCTCTTTAACAGGCTGCTGCCGGGCCCCTCGATATGTCTCTGCCTTCCACACCAGACATCAAAATCAAAGAAGAGGAGCCAGTGGAGGTAGACTCAACCCCACCTGACAGCCCTGCCTCTAGCCCCTGCTCTCCGCCACTCAAGGACAAGGTAAAATTCTCTACCAAGAGTCATCCCAAATATTAATTAATAGATTTTATTTTGAGTCATAAATAGTGTGTGATACAGGAGGATTTTTTATATTTAAACAAATGTTGTTTAGAAGATTTATATAAATTATACCTATTCTCTATTCACCCAGCAATTCCACTTTTACGTCTATGTGGAAATAAAATTAGTGTGTCTGTCCACCAAAAGAAGTATATGAGAATATGTTGTATTGATAATAATCAGAAAACTGGAAGTAGTCCATCAACAAGAGAATGAATAAACAAATTGTGGTGTATTTCTAAAATGGAATACTACATGGCATTTAAAACAAATAACTAATGATACATAGCAATGTGGATGAATCTCACAAATGTTATATTGAACAACAAAATTCAGACACAAAAGTACATACTATATAATTCCATTTACATCAGGTTCAAGAAGAGGCAAATTATTTGATGATGATAGAACTCAGAATAATGTTTACCTCTTGTAAGGGAAGATATGGATTGGGAAGGGATACGGGAGCTGGAAATGGTCTCTGTCTTGATTTTACATATGTAAAAAGTCATTTATTTGTAACCTTTAGATTAATGCACTTTACTCTGAATATGCTGTACTTCAGTTAATATGTGAAAAAAATCACATAATTTATAAGCTGGACATTAAACAATTTAGAAAAAAAAAAAAATGGTCTTCCCAGAGGGAAGTCTTCTAGTTAACTTAAAGGGAATATCTACCAGGATTCTGAATGTTATTTTTTTGAAGGAAAGTTTTTACAAAGTAGTATTTTTTATAAATTTATTGAAATAAAGCACATGTACAGAAAAGTACATAAATTGTAAGTGTACAGCTCACTGAGTTTCCACGAAGTCTATAACCTAGATATTATCAGAACCTCAGAAGCCCCCTCATGACTCCTTCCAGTCTCTGCTGCTCTACCAGTAGTCATTAATTTTAATGTCCACTTTGGATAGAGCATCTACACCTCATTTTACCCCCCCTCCAAATTTTACTTCCCAAAACTACCCCCTGTATAAACATTACAACATTCCCCCTCTTTCTCCTTTTCATCAGCAACCAGGTCCTAGAGGCTGCCTAGAGATGTTTTCAGGGCCAGGGTGGCCACTGGCAATCTAAGATCCTAACAAGTTAACAGTGGGAAGCAGTTTGTTTTATTACATGATCATTATTTAAACTTCTATAGCCCTTTCTTAAAGGGGTCTGTAGGAGATATTGGGTTGTCTTATCACCAGTCTTATACCTGCCTTTTCCCATTAGAGATCAGAGGACACTCAGGCCTCAAGTTTAGAATGACAGTATCTAGATTGTGAAAAATTATAGCAATTCTTAGAATTTATATGATACTACAGTGCTTCTGCAAAGATTTCAAGTGATTTTTTTAGCTGTCATCTCATTCATACAGCCATCATCCCTGAAAGGGAGATAGCAGAAAGTCTTAACTCAGCATTCCTACTGAATGGGTGAATGAGGTATGGTCCATGACCATGGAGCAACATGAGTCATGCTAGTGCTCTTTTCAATAAATTTATAGTAGATTTTACCAGCTGCATACTTCCCTACAAGCAGCCCCTTAAAGCGTTTTGTGATATGTTGGTCTCTTCTCCCCAGGAGGTTGCCCCAAAGCCTGTTATGATCTCTGCCCCGACGCCTACCATCGTACGTCCTGGCTCCCTGCCTCTCCATTTGGGCTACGATCCACTTCACCCAACCCTTCCCTCCCCAACCTCTGTCATCACACAGGCTCCACCATCTAACAGGCAACTGGGGTAAGTAAAGAGAGCAGGGAAAAATAGTGAAGACTGAATCTTTTTCCATTTTGTGAAATTATTTGATAAAACAAAGACTGTTTTTGGGAAAATGAGTCACTGAGATTGTCTCTCAAAATAAATTTTCCCTGGATAAACAGAATCTCCTTTACCTTTTGAGTAGACAAGCAAGTATTTATTTCAGGGTAATAGTTCCTTAATTTGGAGGTTTAATATTTCTTTGATCTAAAAGAAGAATCCTTAAAACTTTAGGAAGTTCATCATAATGGTGGAGGCTGCATAGGAAACTATTGGGTTGTTGGAAAAGTCATGACATATTTTTTCTATGTTTTTCGTTGCAAAAATGCATCATGACTTTTCCGACAACCCAATATATTTAGTTCTTGATCTCAATCTGTAGAAGTTTATTGGGGCACTACTGAATGAGGGGATGAAACCTATTAATTCATCTTTTTTTAGTGTTTCCCTCAGTCTCAGTTAGGATTCTTGGTCTTTGTTACCCCTAATTTTGTTTGTCTATTTGTCTTCACTCTTGGCATGGCTCATACACATTTCCTAAAGAGATGACTTGAGATCCTGTCCCCAGGTACCCACGAGTTAAGAGGTTACTGTCAGGATTCAGCCTCTTGAAGCTTATTGTTCTCTGGACCCACTAGGAGAAATACAAAGGAACATCTTTCGTGGGCAGGGTAGAGCAAAAGGGTAGTGGAAAGGAGCGAGAGAAATTTATTCATATTTGGCTATCATATGACATAATTCAACTTCGCAAAATGACAACTTCGGTCCAAGTCTCCCTTGCCTAAGGCAGGATGGAATTTATACATGACAGTGGTAGGGATGCTTATTTAATTGTTTAAAACTCTTAATAGGATTAGCTTTTCACCCATTCGAGTTCAGTGGTGTTTGCTTAATTTGCACAGTGTAAAGATCTTGCCATTTCTCTCCAGCTGTAAGGTAAGTAGCATTCCTTGCTCTTTCCACCTTCATGAGGGTGTCAAGATTTTGCAGTGCTGCCCTTTCACTTCCCTAATACAGAAGACTGGAAAATCTGCTATATTATAGGAGGAAGATCCGTAGGCAAAAGGGTCTGTATTGTGAGCATTTCACTTCATGTCTCCTCTAGGTCTCCCACTGGCTCCCTCCCTCTCGTCATGCATCTTGCTAATGGACAGACCATGCCTGTGCTGCCAGGGCCTCCAGTACAGATGCCTTCTGTTATATCGGTGAGCTCTGCAGTTGGGGCAGCCAACCCTACCAACACACCAATCCCTCCCTTCCACCTGAATGCTCATAAACACACATGAGCCCCAGGGAAACATGGGCTGTGGTCTGTATTAGTTGAGCGTGGCAGCCTGCCCAAACGCTTCACTAACCTCTGCCAATCCAGCACTATGGAACACTAGATAAAGACTCATCTGGACAGTTGGCTCCTGGTCTAGGAATTGATCTTGCCAGCCTGCTGATTGGTTGATTTCACTTGGCACTTAGCACCTCCCAAATTGCCCACCGCTTTCCTCAATATACAGCCCCAGCCTTTCCCATAGAAATTGTCATAGCACTGAAGGATTAGATTCCCTATGCTGTGGTGTTCCATGGGGGAAGGTATTTCCCAGACTGTCCCTGCACACCCTATGGGAAGGTTGCACAGAACAGGCCTTGACTTGCCAATCTCAAAAGCATTTTATTTGGGGAAGCTATTGCCCACCAATAGTATTATGTTCCCTTCTGGTTTTTCTTCCTTCTCTTGATCCAGCTGGCCAGGCCTGTGTCTATGGTGCCCAACATTCCTGGTATCCCTGGCCCACCAGTTAATAGCAGTGGTTCCATTTCTCCCTCTGGCCACCCTATGCCATCAGAAGCCAAGATGGTGAGTACATCCCAGCCTGGGGCAACATTGGCCCTTCTGAAAGAAGTGGTTTCATCAGCCTAGGTTTTTCAAGCAAGCCAAGCAAAGGAACCTTCTGGGACTTGCAAAGCTAAAGACACCTTGTTGTGAGGTCTATACAGTAAAAGACCCTGATTCAGGATTCCTATCTCCTCTCTTCCACCTTTAAAGCTTGGTACATAGACCGTGACAGTGAAGAGGCAGCACAGATTGTTTGGAGTGGAACACTTGCTGTTTCAGATCCAGGGTGACAGATGGAGGGTGGATGAGTGGGCAGGAGAGCTGGCCAAGAGGTGTGTAGCTGCGTAACCAGCACCTGGCCAGGCTCCAGGAGAGAGCTTTCATCTGGACTCGATTGCTTCAACAACCCCCCACCCTCCAACTGTGCCCAGGATGATGGCCAGGGAACAGAGTAGGCATTTTAGGGATACAGGTGCACATTCTCTCTCCCTGTCATTTTTTTTTAATTCTTCTGTTAAGGGAAAATTGGTGTGGGAATTTGAGCTATCTGTAAGGACAGTAATAAAAGCTAAGCCCTCTTCCCACCCTTGATAGAATCTTACTCTTGACAAGCTATTGTTTTGGGTTTTTTTTTAATCTTTCCTCACAGAGACTAAAAGCCACCCTAACCCACCAAGTCTCCTCAATCAATGGTGGTTGTGGAATGGTGGTGGGTACTGCCAGCACCATGGTGACGGCCCGTCCTGAGCAGAGCCAGATCCTCATCCAACACCCTGATGCCCCATCCCCTGCGCAGCCACAGGTCAGTTGGGTGGGCCCTTGGATGGAGGAACCAGCTGTGTCACCAGTACTCTTTATGTCCTGTGTTTTTCAAGGATCAGAAAAATTAAGAGAAGAATGGATTTCAGCTTTCTGGGCATCTTCCTGAGCTTTGGTCCTCGCTGACAATTTGATAGTAGTAAAATGCACCATTTTATTATCCACCCTTATGTTATATTTACATGCAAATAGACTGGATAATGCAGAACTGTCACAGAGGAGGTCTCAAACTTTGTTTTTTGTTTTTTGTTTTTTTGTTTTTATCTATATGTAAAGAATGTATCTGCAGCACCCTCTAAAATGTGACAAAACCTCACTTTGGACTACTTTGTGCACCAAAGGAGGCTCCCCTAGTCTCTTTCCCATCTATTAAATCTTACAACAAAAAAACCTTATCAATTTAATCCCTTTTTATCATGGAGAAATTAGATGCCCACTTCTTTTCTCAAGGAGGCCTCAGTTTTTAGTAAATTTCTTTGAAAACTGAATAGGCCTCAGCTCTTGTATTGTCTATACAAGACTGGACTGGTGACAATAACCTGAGATCAGTTTCTAGAGTTGCATTCTTTGCCCAGCCTCTTTTACTGATGTCACCATGTGCTTCATCAGTTACCACCACATGTCCTAACATTTAATGGCCATATGCTGCCTTAAAGCTTGACCAACAACAAAAGCCATCACTTGAGTTTTCTTGGTGGAAGCTAAGCCTTCCCACCCTGTGTAACCCCTTCTGATGCCAGTCCCTGGAGAATGGTAAAGCAGTAGCCCCTTGCCCGAGTTGTGCTGCTTTGCCTCTTGAGGAAATGACATGACTTCCTTTTAAGTCCCCACTGATTCCTTTTCTTCTCATTCTTCCCTTCTTTCTCTCAGCCTGTTCTTTCACCTCCATTGCAATCTGCATGAGTTACTGAGTTGTAGATGCGAGACTAGGAACCTATCATTTCCTTTTCCCCATCCTCCTACAGCACCAATCTTTACATGTGCTCCAATGAGCTCAGGACAAAGAGGAAATTTAAAATCTCAAGAGAATTTGTGTAAACTTCTCTTACTGTAGTGAGAAGCAATGACCCAACACCTCTAACTCATTAAATTGAGTTTAAAATTTCCTCCCCCATTTTTCTTTTGGGGGAGAGAATATTAGTCTGAATAAATAAAATTATCTCTTGATTTTCTATATAAATGGAGAACATGATTCTGTGGGGTCTGAAGTGGAGTATAAGATTCTGTTTTTTATAAGCTCATGCTTATTCTCATGCAACTGATATGAGCCCTGACTTTTGGGAACTATTAATATAGATGTTCCCTAATAGCAACAGATCCAGGACAAATTTATTTTTGGCGTTGTTTTACATTATGTAGTTTCTTTTATACAGATGGCTTACCTTCCTACATTTTAATTTTTGCCACTAATTATAAAATTGGTCTGCTTTCTCTGAACACATACCAGCTAACAGAAAGGGAAGATGACCCAAAAGTGCCTTAGTGACAAGAGACACTGAAGTTTAAAGACAAAGACAGCCCTCTCACCAGTTTATAAAGGGATTAAAAACACTTTTCTGTTTAAAAACAGAATAGAACAAACAATATGAGGGAGGGGTTGCTGAGGATGATTAATAACTGATTATATGTAAAAAGAATATGCTAATCTTTATCTCTCCATATTAGCCTAATTCTCACTGGTAGTAGTAAAACCCTTTCTGAAACTTATTGTAGCATCCAGTTGTTTGTATATATTGCTTGCCCAAATCAGTGATTCTTACACTTTTTTTTTTAAGATTTTTTTGGGGGAATTGGGGGAGGGAACAGCTTTGGGGAATCGGGGAAGGGGAACAGACAAGTTGCTGTTCTTTTGTTCTTCAGTCTATTTGTGGAGGACGTTGCTTCACTGGCCCATGTTGGTATTATTGCGCTTTTCCGGGGTGAGGCAGTCGCTCGCTGGCCATTGGACGGCCGATCATGGCGGCTCACGAAAGCTCACACCTGCTGCTGGCCAGCCCCACTGCAGCCTACGCTGTCGCAGGCGACTCATGGCAGCCCAGCTCCAGGTCGAGCTGTTGTTCACCATCTTAGCTGTAGAGGGCACAGCGTCACTAGCCCTCATATGTGGGATTCAAACCAGCGCCCTGCTGTTCAGAGCTGGCGTCAGCCAACTCCTAACCAACGTGCCACTTGGCTGGCCTGATTCTTACACTTTTTTATTCCATAGTCTCACTTAAAGTTCCCGACACCCTCTATTACAATTTCCGCGCCTACAAGATTCCCTGTTGGTTTTTTTGGTTGTTTTGTTTTTTAGCTGAGCCATCCTGCCACCTGTTGGCAGCTCAGCGGCAGCTCTGCTCGGGCCCAGTCTCGAACTGCTGTTGCCTGGAGCTCCGCACTCTTGAGCAAGCTCTTAGCCAACTGAGCCACTCGGCCGGCCCAATTCCCTATTGTTTTTAAGAAACAAAAAGTGATACTAATTTCATTTTGTCTGTCTCAGAAGGGATCCGTTTCCAACTGAGCTGTGGTTTGTCTAAGTGTGGGACTGAGAAGACTGGGAGGAAATGGGAGGCGGAACGAGGAACTACCACAAAAAAGACACGCTAAGGGACATAGCGATGAGACTTGCTGTGGTTACAGAGACTGGCACATCCCTTTACCAGATCTTTACCAGATCTTATTAACGTGCCTAACATCAGGTTTAATTAGGAAAGGATTGCCATGCCTTTCACGCAACTTCTCTTCCTCCGCATTAGGTCTCACCGGCCCAGCCCACCCCTAGCACAGGAGGGCGCCGGCGGCGCACAGTGGATGAAGATCCGGACGAGCGGAGGCAGCGCTTCCTGGAGCGCAACCGGGCTGCAGCTTCTCGCTGCCGCCAAAAGCGGAAGTTGTGGGTGTCCTCGCTCGAGAAGAAGGCAGAGGAACTCACTTCTCAGAACATTCAGCTGAGTGTGAGTGGGTCCAGGATGACTGTTGGCATTGTTGAATCTGGAAAGTGGGATTGGATCAGAAAAAAGTGGGACAGCATAATAGAAGATGGTAATTCTTTAAATTAGGACAGATCCAGAAAACATTCCAGGAAGAATGAGGGAAGAGTTTCTTGACAAAGAGTCGAAACCTCTTCCCCAGGGATGGGAAAAGACCATCTACTCCCAAAGCTGCTACTAGAATGAGTTATCCATAGACCTATTTGGATGAAGAGGATTAAATTAAGCACCCCAGGGTGCTCTTTTTGTCAGAGTAGACTCTGGCTATGGTCATGGAACCCCCAAAGGGAAGTGTCTTTGCCCCAGGTAATGCAGCTTAATAAAAGGAAAAAAAAAAGCCCCACAAGCACAAATAGAATGATTATAATCCATATATTTTCTTGAATATTATTTTCCCTTCTGATTATTTAAAATATTTCATTACAAAGGTAATATGTAAATAGGTTTATAACACATGTGTAGTGTACACATACATGCACATACACAGGAGTAGAATAAAAACAAAGCCCCTCTTCAGTATGCCTTTTCCAGACTCATTCTCTCCCTGTAGGTAAGTTTGTGGTGTACCTACCAGAAAAAATACGTATTTCTAAATGTTATTTTCACTTATAGTTGTTGTAAGGAGAGTCAGGGAGGGATTGTGTGCTTGTTTTAACATAAATAGGTTAACAGTATCTCCTGGAGATCTAGCCATGTATCTAGAAGATCTACCTCATTTTTAAATAGCTAGCTGTATAGTAGTACATTCTATAGTGTGGTTATATTATAAGATATGGATATTTATGTTTCTTATTTTTTGCTAGAACAGCAATGCTGCAGTGAACATTGTATGCACTTGAGTACATTGTTCTGTTAAATAGATTCCTGGAAGTAGTCTTTCTTAGAGGACATAGCGCATTATTAATTTTGGTATAATCATATTTATCCTAAATAGGAGTAATTTTTCTATTGTAGATTCCTACTTTATACTGTAAGCATCTCCTGTCATTGAATTCATGATTATACTGACCCTGGGCTGTCTAAAACCTTGCTGGATCAGAAGTCTTTCCCAGATTTGGGAGAGGAAATCCAGGCAGCATTCTGTCCTAACTTTGAGGGCACTGGGGGTTTGAGAATGGAGGATGAATTTTCTCGATACTCTTTTCTTCCCTCCCTCCTCAGAATGAAGTCACGTTACTACGCAATGAAGTGGCTCAGTTGAAACAGCTGCTGTTAGCTCATAAAGACTGCCCAGTCACTGCACTACAGAAAAAGACCCAAGGCTATTTAGGTGAGTGGCTCACAACCCAAGCACGGTCAGTCAGTCAGTTTACTACATGTACTGAGTGTCTCAACTATTTATAATTTTATAACTCCATTCTGAATGTTCTGGAGGGCTCCACACTGACGAATGAGCAGCCTTTGCAGAGCAACCAGTCCTAAAAAAAATTTATTTTGAGAATATAGAGTTATCCTAACTATCACAGTTGGAGATAAAGGGTGGCAATATTTATTGAGTGCCTACTTCATGTTAGGTACTCTACCGTCTTCCCAATTTTCATATGAAATAGATATTTATCTCCATTTATACACAAGAGAACTGCACTCAGATTAGTCACGTACCTGGAGTTACACAGCTGGTGAAGCAGCAGAGCCAAGATTCACACGTACGTCTTTCTTATTCCAAAGACACCACCTAGGCCTCAAGAGGATAGAAACAGCAGATGATACATTGGGTTTTATTAAGAATTGGGATTTGAGGGTGTATTTTACCTTTCTAATGATGGGCCAATGTTGTAATCTACGAGCACACATAAAATAGTACTAGAAAGAGATGGTCACAGTTGTGCTCAAGACAAGCACAATCCTGAAATTAAAATTATTGTGAATAATTTGCTTATGAATGATAAAAACTAATAAATCAAATTTCCTGTACAAATTAAATAAATTCATAGAAATATTAGCTATCAAATTTTGACATATTGAATTATTTTTCTACTGTCTTTATCATTTCACAGATGTGTTCCTATGGAAAAAGAGTAACCACATCACCAATTTTAAACATCTCTATTTTAATTTTAGTATGTACATTCATTTATTAAGCAGATATTGATTGAGCCTGTTCTGTGCCAGGCACTATTTTATATGCTGAGGGAACCAAATAGATTAAATTAAACTCCCTGCCCTGGAGGGGCTTATAGTTTAGTAAGTGAAACGGACAGTAAATCAGATAACTAGGTACAGATTTATGGTATTTTAGATAGATAATAGTAAATGCTTGGAAGAAAAAATAACACAGGGAAGAGAAATATGAAATGTTGGCAGCAGGCTTGTAAGTTTAGATAAGGTGGCTTTTGAATAAATACCTTAAGGAAATGAGGGAGCTAGCCATGCATTTATATGAGAAAAGTACTGCAAGCAGGAGGAAGGGCGAATGCAAAGACCCAAAGTGGGAGTGTGCCTGGCATATTTTAGAACATCAGGGTGGCTAGCGTGGCTGGACTGGGAAGAATGGGGCTGGACAGTAGTTGGAGATGAGGTAAGGAAGGTAAAGGGAGCGTCTTTGTGTGGGACCTCATCAGCCATAGTGAGGACCTTAGCTTTTACTCTACATTGACCATTAGAGGGTTTTCAGCAAAGCTCTGACATGACTAATCAGACTTATGTTGAACAGGATCACTCTGTTAGTACACGAATGCACAGGCAGAAGCAGGCAGCCCACTTAGGAGGCTATAGCAATCATATGTGCATGAGATGATGGAGCCTTGGACCAATATGGTGGCAGTGAAAGTGGTGAAAGGGGTTGAATTCAGGATATTTTGAAGTTAGAGTGACAGGGTTTGATGTTGGGCCATATGAGGCAGTATACGAGAAAAAAAAGAATCAGAAATTACACCAAAGTTTTTGGCCTCAGCAACTACAAGAATGGATTTGCCATTAATTGAGGTAGGGGAAAGTGTAGGAAGAAATGGATTGGGAGGTATATTCGGTGCTAAGTTTTGGATGATCTGAGTTTAACAGGTGGAGTCAAGCAGTCAACCAGCAGACAGCTGGTTATATGGGTCTGCAGCTCTGAGGAAAGGCTGGAAGATATGAATAGGAGTCAGCAGCATATAGTTAGTTTTTAAAGCCATGAAACTGGATGAAGTGTTATTGTCAAGGGAGAGGGCATAGATAGAAAAAGAGAAGTCCCAGGACTGAACCCTGGGGCACTGCAACATTTAGAGTCAGAGAGATGGGAAGGAACTCACAAAGCAGACTGAGAAAGAGCAGCCAAGAAGGTAGGAGGAAAACCAGCTGAGTAGCTGAGTGTGATGTTCTGTAAACCAAGATAAAAAAGTGTTTCAAGATGTTTAGTTCAAAGATTTGAAAACTATTTCAAATACTTTCCATGGGCTACAGTAAGAAAAGGACTGAGTATTTATTAGTATGAAGTCTTCAGTCAGTTTTCTACTCAGTCCCTGCAAGACCTCTGACAGGTAGTCAATCCATTAAACTACTTATTTGTTACAGCAAAGATGTATTTAGTTCCTGCTGTGTGGTGTAAACATTACAGTAGGTACTCAACACAAGACAAAAAAAAAAAAGACAAGAGGCTCATCGGATTGTGAGGAGATAAACCTGTCAACCTGTGAATAGGACAAGCATAGGTCCCAGTCAAAGAGCCCCTAGACTGGGAGCTTCCTGGAAAAAGGGCCCTTGTTTTATTCTGTATATACCCCAGTGCTTGGCACACAGATGATGCTCAGAAAATAAATGAATGTGTATTCTGAAAGCACAAGCAATGAAATAGTTAATTTCCTGAGCACAACAAAGAAGGCTTCACAGAGGAGGTAATATTTGAATCCTAAAAGAAGACTCAGGCGTTCATTAGGTTAAAAATACAACCAACTATTGGAAGTTTGCCCTTAATCCACACATCTGTTTAGCAGTCTTCTGTTTAATAAAACTCCTTAACTGATGAGCAACATGGAGTTATCTTTGTATGCAGCTCAGATATTTGTTTAGTAAAATGTTATTGTCACTTTAGTTAGAGTGGCATAACTCATAATAAATGTTTTAAATCATTAATGCCTCGTTAATTGATAGTCAGGAGGGTCTAACAGACCTCTTTGGGGTTTGTTGTGATAAGTGAACCTTTGACAAATACTGATCATTCATGACATCATTTGATTGTAGTTTGATACTTATCAGGATTACCTGTGGTGCAACTGCCTGCTAAAGGAAGATAAAAAAGAATGGAATGATTCAGTTCCTGTGGGAATTAATCAGAGAGGATAGCTAAAAAGAAATCTATTTTAAATCAACTTTAAAAACATTAATAAGAGGAAGAATGTTCCAGTAGAGGTAATGAACTACGTACAAAGACCTAAAAGCCAGACAGTATAATTAACATGTTGGGGATTCGCTTTATTGGGAAAGATAGTTTAATTTGGACCTAATTCTTGCTTCACTTCTCACAGCTCACTGTTTCCTAGCTCATTCATGGCTTACAAGTCAATAATCTAGGAAGTTTCTCCTCCAAAAAAAGAGAGGGGCTTCCTTTAGCTTTGGTCATCTTTAGAATTATGGCAAAAGTAGTCCCTCCTGTTTCCTCATTCTGTTTTCTAACCACTTACTCTCTGCTCTTTGCCCTCCTTCCTTGGCAGAAAGCCCCAAGGAAAGCTCAGAGCCGACGGGTTCTCCAGCCCCTGTGATTCAGCACAGCTCAGCAACAGCACCTAGCAATGGCCTCAGTGTTCGCTCTGCAGCTGAAGCTGTGGCCACCTCAGTCCTCACTCAGATGGCCAGCCAAAGGACAGAACTGAGCATGCCGATACAGTCGCATGTGATTATGACCCCACAGTCCCAGTCTGCGGGCAGATGATGCCTCCCCTGGTGGAGAGGTCCCCAGCCAGAGCTCGCCCGTCCGAGAGCCAAGAGAGATGTCATCTTATCCCCTCCCGTCTGCCTTGGACGTGGCAGTATGGGGGGGGGAATTGTGTGTTGTGAGTAATGGACAGATGCGGGGCTTTTCTCTTCAGCCACATGGTTGTGTACGTTGACACCTGTACTAGGAGCCCCCCAACCCCAGAGCCACATAGATCATCCCCCAAGGGGGCGTTTCTGATGTCCCCACAGCCAAAGGCCTTTCCAGATGGTCCGAACAATCACCCCTGCCCGTGCACATGTACCTGTCTCTTTTAACACTAACCCTCGCACTTCTAGGTTTCAGGTTTCTCAATTCCCTCTCTTTCCACTAAGCCGTGATTGTTACACCTTCTTGTTCCTCAGCAGCATGTGCCACTTCCTGCTAGGTGAAGGGAGCTAGAATTGATGGCATATCACCTGCTGACCCATCCCCAGCCTCCCCAGCCCCCACCCCCAATGGACTCAGGACTTTGTCTCCCAGTAGCTGCTTATTTATCCCTTTTTCTCCTTCCAAAATTCTAGTCAAGACATTGACTTACAGTGAATGTAAGGTTACCTTTGATGTATGAACTAGCGATATTTTCCAGCTCTTCCATAAACTTTAGTCCTTCTCCCTGCCTTCCACCAGAAAAACCAAAACAACAACAAAAAAAAGTAAAAAGAAACAAAACCCCAAGGATTCTAGTCCTTTTTCATCTATTTCCAGAGGGTACCACATTTTGTCTCTTGAGTTTCCCCCGTCTAGTGGTGGAGTCCTTTCCACTGTCCTCTAAGCCTTGGCAACCTCATCTTGTGGCCTTATTGGTATTGCTTGGTAGTGAAAAGGGGAGGAGCCTGGGATCTGACTGGCTGACTCCCTTCCCCACTCTGTCCTTCAGTCTCATCATCAGGGCAGGGGGGAACAATGTAGTTTTACAGCTCGCTCCATCAGGTTACTGGATTGATTCTTTTGTTTTATAAAAGTTTACTGACCAGAGCATACATATTCCTTATGGTCACCTTTCCGCTCCTGCCTCTCCGTCTTCATTCCCCTGTCCCCATTACTGCCTCAGTGTCTCTTCCATAACTAGTTCAGATGCAGCCCTCTGGAAGCTGTCATGTAGGGGACCCTTGTGCTCCCTCACTCTTCGCCCCTCCCTCTCAGCCTCACGCATCTGTCTTCTCTGAGCTAGGGTTTTATATTCACAAGTGTCCCACACCCTCTGTATCTGCCTTCTCTTTCATCAGGTGCCTAGCCTAGCCACAAGGTCTCTCTGGCTCTACAGCATTTCTTCAGCTTTTTTTCTGCTGTCTGCCCCCTAGATGCAGTGCTTCTCCGTAGTCCAAACCCCAGGACTCTGAGGCATCATAGCCAATGTTCTGAGTGGGTTTTCTTGAGTATCAGGTTGGATGGGGGGGGAGGCTGCGGAGGGGGAGGCGCAGTACTGATCTCAGCGGAAGAGCCCTGCTTTTGAAGGGTCTGGCCTACCTGGGAAATTGGTGCCTATTGCTCTCAGCCATTCTTACTTTGAAGAGTCAGGTTACAGGGGTAGAAATTCATCCTTCTTGTCCCTCTTTCTTCCCCATGAAGACTTCTTTTGGCTCTGAACTATGCACTTTCTACCGGGGCCATAGGAAGCAATCCAAAGCCAGGGACCTGTGGATAGATATGTCAGCTTTAATATCCCTTCAAGTATGAAACCCTTCCAATTGTCCCAGAGCCACCTTCTGCCATCTGCCGAAGCCAAGAATGTCCTTTCCTCCATCTCGCCTAACTCCATCTTAAACATACGTACAGAATAACTCCCAGCTTCCTTTCTTATTTTGTCTTCCAAAATTGGCTGTCATAGGGGAATGAGGAAATGTTCTAAGCTACAAGATTTCCCGTCTTCTCAGAGTGATAAACTGGTAAGCCAGTCAGATAACATGTTCTACTGCATTTGTTTTTAATTTCCCCTCCTGCTTTTCAGAGCCGGTGCTGAACAAGCCACACCTGGTGAAGAGAAAGGAGAGAAAACATGGTTTTCTCATCCTCTACCACCCGGGACCCAACAGGAACAGCCCCTGAGGTGACTCAGACTAGCAAATGGCATGGCAGATGGTCAGGGTACAGGGCACCACCTCCAGGGACTCCGCTTGCCTTTAACAATTCACAGCCATAACTTGTGCTCAGGACTTTTCCTCTAGACGGCTGCTCCCTGGGCTTTTCTCCTGCTTTAGTTTTATTTCATTTTTTATTATCTTGATTTCCCACTAGCAGCCTTGCCCTTAAGCTTGACTGAGTTTATGGCTCCTAAGGAGCCTTCATAAGACCCTTCACTATTTTTCTTCCCCCTTCAGTCAAGTGTTTTTCAAGTTAAGAATCGGTTTGTCACTACACACATGCCCTGCCTAACTGCTTGCCTTGGAGGAGGTATGAGCCCTGCCAGCCTGTCCCTGCGTAGGATGGCTAATTTATGTAGAAGGTCTGATTTGGTTTCTTAAGCCCCTTTGTCTAATTCTCTTGAGTCCTTATTTCATTTTCATCAGTTGGGAGTCCTTATTTCATTTTCATCAGTTGGAAGTATAGTGTTGGGGACCTAAATGAGGGACATTGGCAGAACCTTCATAGTAAAGTAACATGAGGAAAGGGCAGGACAGAACCCCCCAGACAGCTTTTTAGTTGGTCCTCAGTCTCACTGAGAAGGCAGAGCAGTTGCTTACCCTGAAGCCTCATTGTCAAGGGGAAAATCACTGACCTTGTTACCGCTGCCAGCCATGTGGCCGCTCTCCCTTGTTCTTTGCCTTCCAGACTCATCTGGACCAGAACCAGACATCATGGAGGGTGTCACTTAGCCCTTCTTTAAGGACCATGGCCTTTCTAGGGACCTACGGGAAGACACTTTCTGAAAGGAGCTGGGAGTGTGGAACCTTGGGGCTCTTCCAAGTGAACACAGGACTCAGGCCTCTCACCTCCCTCCAAAGACACAGCTGCTAGCCACCCAAAGCCATAGAGAAGGGGGCCAGAAGTGCCAGGTCATCCGTCTGTGGGCGTTCTGCCCCATTCCCCTACAAGAAAGCTTGCTTAGAGCTCAAAAGTATGAGAAAGCCTCCCCCAGCACCAAGGGAGACTGGAAAGGTAGGACCTCTTTTACTTCCTCTTTCCCTAATTCTGACTCCCTTCAGCCTCCACTCCTCTGCTCGGCCCTAAGCACTAGACCATATACTCATGATGCTGGTAAAGAGGAGATGACCTAACTGAACCTCACTTTGCTGCCTTCCCTATGCCTATTGTCTGGTTTTGGGTTCCTTTCCTGATTCACTGCCCTCCAGCAGCACACATCCTGGTAGATGGGGTGTTTAATCATAACTATGCCCTGTCTACAGCCTGAACCACCAAGCAGACATCGAGATACTCCTCCTCTGGTTTCTGAGGCTCCCCTGCTCCACACTGAGAGGCTCCTTTAAAGGTGCTAGCCCTGAGACAGCTCCCCCACCCCCAAAAAAGTTCTCCCTTTCTTTCATAGCTTCCTTCCCATCCCCAAATCGTTATTTTTCATTAATATTGTACATTGTATACACAGGAAGGAAATGTATTTTTTTATTTCATAATCAGACTGTTTAGAATCCAATCCTCCTAGCTATATCACATATGCCTTTGTTGATATGCTATTTCTGCTTTCATTAGACTATTGTTTGACGGGGGCGGAGGGAGGAACAAGACAGGTGAGGATCTTCAACCTCCCACGACCCTCCTCATCCTCTCAGAGTACAGAACTTATTTCTCTGTTTCTGTTTACAACACACAGATGTGCATACAGACATAAAGCCCCTCCTCCTCCACCCCCCAGGGTGCCAACCCAGCAGGAATGTGCATCATTCCCACCCTCCTTGCCAGCTCACTCATCTCTCTTTGGGGTCAAATCCTGCCCCAGAATGAGAAGAGTCTGGGGAGAGTTAAGGGAAGGTTAAGGCAGCTTATATCCTTTGTATTGTAGGTGCAGTTTGTATTGTACTGCTAGGGGTTTTTTGGTTTGATTTTTACTGGCGGCTGGTAGGACAGAGATATCTCACCAGCATTAGCTCCTGGTGAGTGACATTTTAGCTGTAAAAAATAGCTATGAGCACTAGTTGCTTTGACTTTCCCTTAGGGCAGCGGTTCTCAGAATGGGGTCCAGCGTCAGCAGCACCAGCGTCTGGGCACTCGTTAGAAATGCACTTTTGGGCCCCACCCCTGACCTATTGAACCAGAAAACTCGGGATGGGCTCTACCAAGCACTCCAAGTGATTCTAACGCACACTAAAGTTTGAGAACCATCACCTTAGGGGCAGCTGGGAAATTATTGTAGGGTGTCAAGGATATTTTAAGTACCATCCTCTGCCTTAGCACTAACGTATTTTTCCATTTCCTCCAGTCCCTCCCTCTACTCCCATTAAAACAACAACCATGTCATTCATCTCAAAATCTAGGTTTGTCTTTGTCCTACTTATCCCTAAAATTTGTCCTGCACTGGTCTGGACAAGCGTTGTCCCATATTCCCTTGCAGACTGGTCACTCCATGTTCTTTGTTACAGGAAGGACCAGCTGGAGTTTTAGCTGTCCTGTGCGCGCGCGCGCGC